ATCCCGAGAACTTTTTTGTTGGAAAGAATGGTTCAGGTGCCGCAAACAACTGGGGAGATGGATACCAAACGGGTGAATCTGTACATGAGGAAATTATGGAAATGCTTGATCGAGAGGCCGACGGGAGTGACTCGCTTGAGGTGGGTAATCGAACAGTTCACACTAATGATGAAACTAATCTAAGCAGGGCTTCATGATGTTACACTCTATAGCAGGTGGTACTGGTTCCGGATTAGGATCTTTTCTGCTCGAAAGACTGAATGACCGCTTCCCTAAGAAGATTATACAAACGTATTCCGTATTCCCAGACACTACCAATTCTGGCGACGTTGTTGTACATCCATATAACAGTTTACTCTCCATGCGAAGATTAACACAAAATGCCGACTCGGTTGTTGTGCTTGACAACGGAGCACTGTCTAGGATCGCTGCGGATAGATTGCATGTCCAAGAACCTTCGTTCCAACAAACTAATCAGCTGGTCGGTACCCCCCCTTTCGGAGCCAGAGTTTGCTGTATTAATATGTACAGGTTTCTACCGTTATGTCAGCTAGCACCACTACACTCAGATACCCCGGATATATGCATAATGATCTCGTTAGCATAGTCGCTTCACTCATCCCAACTCCTCGTTGCCATTTCTTAATGACGGCCTATACCCCATTCACTGGAAACAATGTTGAACAGGCGAAGACCGTACGAAAAACTACAGTTTTGGATGTCATGCGAAGACTGTTGCAGCCCAAGAACCGCATGGTCTCTACAATTCCTGGCAAGAAGAGTTGTTATATATCCATATTGAACGTTATTCAAGGAGACGTTGATCCAACTGATGTCCATAAGAGTCTTCTTCGAATTCGGGAGCGACGACTTGCAACATTCATTCCATGGGGTCCAGCAAGTATTCAAGTTGCGTTGACCAAGAAGAGTCCATATATACCCATGAATCACAGAGTCAGTGGGCTTATGCTGGCAAACCACACAAGTATAGCAACAGTGAGTGTCTTTAGAGCTATTTCGCACCAAATTATTGACATATTATAGTTGTTTAAACGTATCGTGAGACAATACGATGGAATGCGCAAGCGTAATGCCTTCATGGAAGGTTACAAGAAAACTGCACCCTTTGCTGACAATCTCAATGAATTTGATGAAGCAAGGGAAGTAGTAACAGATCTTATCGCGGAGTATGAAGCTGCAGAAGACGCAGATTATCTTAGCCCCGATGCTGGAAATACTGCTCCAGCAGGAGAGGCAAGTGATAGAAGGCTTCCTTGATTATCTGCACCTCTACAGCAGATGCGATGATAGCATTGTTGGAGTCGAGGATTAGGATTTAGGATGGTATGAAAGGTGTGCCTAGGGGCTGAGGGTACATCGAGTGTCCTATCTACCGGCGCCTAGATATTGAGGACACTGCAATTGGCGTTTTTACAAGGATGATTAATGATACCAAATTATGAAGAAGTTTCTAGTATTCTTTTTCATAACCCTTTTTTACCATCGAGATTTCCATCTGGGATCGAATTCTACCGAATCAAATAATTCAAATTGACGTTGGTTTCGGTTTGTTCCCGGTGGTACCTAGTATCTTAGTCATGCCATCGGAACTTTTTGCCCCACCAAAGTTTGATGCTTGACATGATCGACATCATAATTACATCACATCTTTTATAGAGCCCCTCAATTTCTCAATGTATCTGATGTTCCGGAACGAAACCTCCAAACTCAGCAAGGAATAATTTAACTATGCCTTGGTACAGTACCTGAGTAAGGTGGAGTATGATTTTGTCATAGAACATGAGCTCGAGAGTTCCAACGCCTTTTTAATCCCCCGTTTCCCCCCTTCCTCGCCTTCCTTCTTCATACTACAAACAAACAAGCAAACAAACAAGCAAACATCACACGCATCATACCAATTCACAACGAACAACCTCACAATTAACTACTCTACTTCATAACCAAACAGTGAGCTTCCCTTCCCACAACAATTCACTCGACTCATTCTAACAGATTTTAGAACACACAACCTCACACACATATCAACATGCCAGAACAACAATCCAAAGCCGACCTCATCGCAGAGCGTCAAGCCAACCTCCCTCTCCCAGAAGATCCTCCTGTCGCCAGCGACTGGAACTCTGCCGATGCTACCAAAGTCAACGTTGGATCAGGAAGAGACGTAACTAGCAAAACCTCAACTGGCAATGCTCAACAATCTGGATTGGAGGGTGCTGCTACTGGAGGAAGTGGTGTTAGAGAAGCCGGCGGTGTTGATATGAGCAACATTGGACGCGAGGGTGTTGAGAAGAAGGACTAAGTGTAGGACCATTTTGAGAATGAGTGTATTATATTTTTTTAATCATTGGAATGACTGATGATGGGTTATGAACGAAAAATAGCATTGATGGACGGGACGGGTGGGATGAGATGCTGTATTATACGCATCGTGTATGAAATAGATATAAACCGGCTTTGACAAGGCTATGAAATACAAAAACTTCCAAAATTTCTTGGCACATTAAATGAAAGTTGCATTGTGTCCAATCCGCATTCTCAACGATGTGGTGATGCCTCAAGATCCCTTGCTATTCTCTAAATGCTCGAAATTAGTTTCATTTTCTGGACAATTCGAAAGCGTGTCGCACCTGGATTGCATGTTGGGAAGGACTTGAGAGTTTTCATCTTCATGTGAATACTCCTCTTTCCAGCGCGTGTATTCCTATTCTAAGCTTTCTGAATCAAATATAGATCAATGAACCAATAGATTTCTTTCACTACAGCTAAGATTTAAATTTCAATTTTATCACCACTTCCACTAGACAGCAGCCACAGGTAGTAAATTGGAACAGCAAAACGCGAAGGAGGTAGACTGCTTGCTAATCTGATATGACTGGATAAATTAATACGATTCTTGCAATGCAATGACCATGGTGAATAAGCATCTTTAAAGCTCGGGGTCCTCAAAACCTGGGGAATGATTTCGACGCTTGACATGCAACCAAACGCTCACTCAGATGAAATCATATTCGGTTGGACATTCAACGTCGATATTTCGATATTCATAGATCACTCTGCTTGAATCACACTCCAGATTTCTAAAAGTATGTGGAAAGTATATCACCAACAAATACGAGGGATAAGTGTCACTCGAAACACGTGATAAGGTTGAACTACCCCTCAATTTCCAGACGCTTATCGCTGACGTCGTCCAAAATGTGCAGAAGTGCCACCACTAACTTTTAGAATCTCCACAACTTTAGCATTCCTATGAGTTGATTGACGGAAACGTGCCTGGCGCCATCCTTATGTAGTAGAAGTAAGTAGCCGAAACAGGATACGGTTTGTTTAATGTGATTCTTTGAGTTTAAGAATGATGTCATGCAGAGCGCCAGCTATATAATTCAGATTTGAACAAAGAACTTCCAGGAATAAATTAAACAATTAAACAACTTGTCTGTATCTTCAAATCGCGAAGATATAATTGCTTGAATCTTCTAATACCAAGGTTTCTAATCATCAAATCACATTCAAAATGTCTGGAGCTGGTACAAAGGTAAATACTTGCTTAGAATCTTTCATGTTAAATTTCCAGTAACCGCGTCTCGGACTGCAAGTCAATCAAGTGATTTCTCTTCGATGAGGATCGTGTTGGGGATTCTTTGCCTCGCACGACTCAATTTTTATCATGATTGCTAACACAACTTTTAACAGGTCAAAGATCCAAACTCAATCATCAAAGAGGGTGCCGGAGCCATAGCATCAGATTCTCTTGCAGCCGAATCTACGAGAGCTGGCGGAGGCTTCGCTGGAAATCGCGATGGTGAACCTTTAGGCGTTGCAGGCGCAAACTCCACATTTGCAAATACCAATACATCTGGAGCTACTCGTCTAGATCCTGCTTCCGACGCTGAAGCACGAATGGCGACTGAAGATTGGGCGGAAGAGAAGAAACTTGGAGCTACTGGTTCATACCAGAAATATGCCGGTAACCCCAATGCACAAAAGAGCACAAGCAATGCGGGGGTCGCGCCAAGTTATGTGTCCAATCAATACCAGTCTGGCGGTAACCCAAAGGGAAAGAATTTGACGGAAGGGGGATTTGAGAGTAATGATGCAAAGAATGCTAGTTTTACTTCAGAGATTGGATCAAAGAATGATCCGAGTCGACTTGCTGAGCAGAAGATGCAGAGAGAGAATGCTCAATCAGCGAATGATGCAGGCTTCCCCAGGGATAGCAATACAACGGGTGGAACGCCATATGATGCTTTAGGTGGTGATACCGCAGCTTGAGAGGTTACATTTGATAGGTTCAGGAAACAGGCTAAGGAAATTGTATGGAGATCGCTTTAATGACATGATTTGATGAGAACAAATGAGTTTTGCATATTATTTTACTTTTGATAGCTTTGTTTGTTTCATTACAGACTTCATATAACTGTATATCGGATAGCCCATATAGCATCACGTGATTATACATGCTGAAAAGAGAGTTGGCTTGAGCAGTTACTTCCTCTGATTTTCAAAGACTGACAAGACTTTGTGGCAGGAGCACTTGTCTCGCCAGCTTATTACTGAGCATTAGTGCTCAATAAGAGATTGATTGATTCACTGTGCCCATATGATTCTATCAAGAGAATGAATGAATACAACACTCAAAACTGATCTGCTCGGACTTGCCCTACAAGAAAATGTGCCTGAAATTTAAGGATATAAGCATAAGGATTCGATCAAGTCAAGTCAACAACTTCACATCAGGATCAAGTACTTGTTCTTCCCTTTTTCCATCAAAGAGGTTTCTCAAGTCCTCAAACTGTTGTGGTAGAAGAAATAATTTTTCGAGTTCTAGGTCAGAGTCCATTATTTTTGGAAGTGGCGCTAGTACCACCTCGCTTAGGAAAACCTCCCACCACAATTTCTCAAATATTTCCAACCAGCACTGTTACCGTTGCCATTTCGCCCATCCTTCAATTCTCCGTTCACCAGATCAATACTCCAACATGGCGGAACAACTTATCCTCAAGGGCACCCTCGAGGGCCACAGCGGCTGGGTCACCTCTCTCGCAACTTCTCTTGAGAACCCAAATATGCTCTTGTCTGGTTCCCGCGACAAGTCCCTCATCATCTGGAACTTGACCCGGGATGAGACTTCATACGGATACCCTAAGAGATCTCTCCACGGACATTCCCACATTGTCTCTGACTGTGTATGTTAAAACTCACTCAAAATCGGTGGCTCTGGGAAATATGAGCGCAATCTGCAAATTACAATTGAATGCTGAGACTTTGATTTCTAGGTGATCTCTTCCGATGGTGCTTACGCTCTTTCCGCATCCTGGGACAAGACTCTCCGCCTTTGGGAGCTTGCCACTGGTACCACCACCCGCCGATTTGTTGGACACAACAACGACGTTCTCTCCGTTTCCTTCTCTGCCGATAACAGACAAATTGTCTCCGGATCCCGCGACCGCACGATCAAGTTGTGGAACACCCTCGGTGACTGCAAGTTCACCATCACTGAGAAGGGACACGCCGATTGGGTTTCATGCGTTAGATTCAGCCCTAACCCACAAAACCCAGTCATTGTCTCCTCTGGATGGGACAAGCTCGTCAAGGTAAGCTACAATCGTTCTTTATGGTACTTCAAATTGAAGCTGTGCGAAGTTTTCATGATGTTCTACAAAGTATTTGCTACTTCAGAGCTTGGGAGACCTTGCCATGAGACAATTAACACTAATTTTCTGAAAATTGTCTTCGCATAATTCATTTGGTACCAAAATTACTTACCCAGAAAATGCTAACATTCAATCCTTCAGGTCTGGGAGCTCAGCTCTTGCAGATTGCAAACCGACCACATCGGACACACCGGTTACATCAACACCGTCACCATCTCCCCAGACGGATCCCTCTGCGCTTCCGGTGGAAAGGACGGAACCACCATGTTGTGGGATTTGAACGAGTCTAAGCACCTCTACTCCTTGAACGCTGGTGATGAGATCCACGCCCTCGTTTTCTCCCCCAACAGATATTGGCTTTGCGCCGCCACCTCCAGCAGCATCATCATCTTCGATTTGGAGAAGAAGAGCAAGGTTGATGAGTTGAAGCCAGAGTTCCAAGCTGTTGGCAAGAAGAGCAGAGAGCCAGAGTGTGTCAGTTTGGCATGGAGCGCGGACGGACAAACTTTGTTCGCAGGTTACACAGATAACATCATCCGGGCTTGGGGTGTTATGTCGAGAGCGTAAGGGGGTGGTTAAACAGGCGTGTGTCAATTCATCTTGAGGTTTTACGGCTTTTCCGGGGTTTGTGGTTCCTTGTCGATTGGCAGGATGTACTTCAAAAACATGGCATAGCAAAAGGCTCATGGACATGAAAAATCCAAACAACGTAAAAAGTAATTTCCATGCATTATGATCATCTTGCCGTGCGTGTGAAAATGCTATGTTTACCTAGGTATCAACATGTGATTCTTCGTGATTGGGTGTGCAGTAGCTGAGGGGAATCATAAGTAACAGGTAAGCTAGTGCCACTTTAACATAGGCTTTCACAGGCGCGTCCCTCAAATTTAAAACGCGTGTGTCAAAAGCCACTATGTGTGATGATCATGAACCAAACTTGTTACGCAGAGTCCAATCCCACCAATTGCTCAGCATGGTTGCTTGCCCCATTTGCGAAAAGCAAGTAAAGGCCAAAGACATTAATAGTCACATTGATTCGGGATGTGAAGACTTTATTGACACAGTTTCTCCTCCACTTACACAGCAATATGCATTCAATTCACAGAAACCAGCTTCCACGCAGAAGCCTTCCGTCTCCAACTTTTTTTCTACACCTGCGACTAAGAAGGCAGCATCGCATTCTACCCCAAAGATAGAACCCATCTCGACCCCCAATTTTCAGCAGAAGGTGCAGAATGGAAATACAACTACAAAGCGACAAGACGATGGAAGTGCGAGTGGATCCCTGACTGTTCAGCGGAAGAGATCATTTGACGATGCCGAGACGGAGATACAGAAGGAAAATGATATTGTTGACCCGCCAGCGAAGAAGACTAAGACCAATGCCTTTCAAAAGGTCGCTCCGTTAGCAGAACGAATGCGCCCAAGAACTCTAGACGAAGTATGCGGACAGGAGTTGGTCGGGTCACAAGGAGTTTTACGCAGTCTCATCGAACAAGATCGTGTCCCATCAATGATACTATGGGGTGGGGCTGGCACGGGTAAAACTACAATTGCACGGTGTGTAGCTGCGATGGTAGGAAGCCGGTTTGTCGAGATCAATAGTACATCTACTGGGGTAGGGGAAGTGAAGAAGATATTTGCTGAAGCAAGAGGGGAACTGGGGCTTACTGGGAGGAAGACAATAATATTCTGCGATGAGATCCATCGATTTTCGAAGAGTCAGCAGGATGTATTTCTTGGACCGGTGGAAAGTGGTCAGGTTACTTTGATAGGAGCTACGACCGAGAATCCGTCTTTTAAAGTTCAGAACGCTTTATTGTCTAGATGTCGAACATTCACATTATCAAAGTTGACGGACGATGACATATTGGAAATATTAGAGAGGGCATTGAAGACCGAGGGACCAAATTATACTCCTACAGATCTTGTGGATACAGAGCTTTTGAAGTATCTATCTGCCTTTTCTGACGGTGATGCTCGGACGGCCTTAAATTTGTTAGAACTAGCCATGGGCTTGTCTACAAGACCCAATATCACTAAGGAAGACATCAAAGCCTCTCTTACCAAGACACTGGTGTATGATAGAGCTGGCGATCAACACTACGATACTATCTCGGCTTTCCACAAGTCGGTAAGAGGTGGTGACGCAGATGCTGCTCTATACTATCTTGCAAGAATGCTTCAATCTGGAGAAGACCCTCTTTACATAGCTAGGCGGATGGTTGTTATGGCATCAGAAGATATAGGACTGGCCGACAATACCATGCTAACGCTCGCAACTAGCACATACACTGCGTGCGAGAAAATCGGTATGCCTGAATGTCGAATCGCAATGGCTCATGCTACTGTGGCTCTGTGTCTAGCCCCCAAAAGTACAAGAGCATATCGAGGATTGAACAACGCATATTCTGCCCTGAGGGAACCTGGGGTGGCTAGTTTAAGCATCCCTATCCATTTGAGAAATGCACCTACGAAGTTGATGAAAGAGTTGGGGTATGGAGATCAGTACAAATACAATCCTAATTACAAGGAGGGAAGAGTAGTTCAAGAATACTTACCCGACGAATTGAGGGACAGGAAGTTTTTAGAGGATAGGGATTTGGGAACAGAGATTGATCCGGGTGCTTGGCCTTGAGGTCAAATGGATGATTATATAGGATATATCTAGTGCATTGCGATGGTGTTTAAGGTCCATGATTGGCGTTACAACAAGCCCATACTATTTCATGAGAATTGTTCATTGAAAGTATGTTGTTTTGGTAAGGTGTATGTAAAGTTGCGCGTGAACAGCAACGGGTTATGTAGATTTACATATATAAGGAAACACCTCTCGCTCCTGCAAGAGTCCGTCCTTCATTGAGCTACAGGCTCCCTAAAATGAGATCCTTTTGATTGATTCAATCCCAGAACTCCTCGCTGATAATGCATTCCACCGCCCATACCTGAGATTCCAAACCCAAATTATTATTCGTATCTTTTCTGTTATAATCCATCTTCCTACGGCTCTAATGACACCAAATCCTCATCCATAGGCGAAGGTGGAGGTTGCGGATGTGCCTGCGTCCTCCTTTTTGCCGGTGCACCTTTCCTGAAATACTGCTTCTCTGCATTAACTACTATACTGCGATCATCTAGCGCCAGCCTTGTATTTTCGTTCCCACTTCCACTACCAGAATTTGTAATTCCCAGTTCCAACATGGTACGTTCCCACAACGCATGACGTTCCTTACTCTTTGGATCTCTGCCAGCCATTCGTTTCATTTCCCTATCTTTGCCCACCCTTCCAATCTTCACCAGTTGTCTCAGAGCCTCCTCCCCCTTCTTGGCATTTTCCGCAGCCTTCTCCCGGATTTTTCGCGGATCCGTTAAGCGTTCGCTTTCTTTGGGCGTCCATTTAAATGTATGTTTACTAGGAAATGCGGGGAATCCTTTCGGAATATATGATTTCTGTGCCTTTTCCACCTCACCATTAAGCTCCACTCCTAATATCCTTATGACATTCTTCGTCGTCGGATCTTCCTTTGGTGCAGGTTCCAATTCTAATTCCAGCTTCGGTACGGAAATCGGAGGTCGCAGATGCGGTTCTAATGATGCGAGCGGTAATTGATACCGATTAAACGCGTACGATATATCGAGGGGTATGGGAATATTCCTTCTCGCATTATTCATCGAAGAAGTGACCTGAGCAAGTAAATGCGTCGTATCTTGAATCTCGTCAACAAAAGGCTTCTCAGCCCACAGGTGAGGATATACAAACACGTATCGACTTCGGCACACATGGCCTCCAACGCTTCTTCCGTCGCCCGCTCAAACCCTACGTGTTCCAACGTCTGACAAATCGATCGCCGCAAGAGCATCCGCACGTCGCTGTCGAAAAGTGCAGACTCCATTTTATCGGGGCGCGACAATTCCAGCTCGGGCGGAGGCGTTTGCGGGAGGACGGGCGATATGCGTTGCCTTTTTCGATAAGGCTCCTCCATGTCGTCGTCGCTAGATGTAGGTGTCGATCGTTTTCGTGACACTGGGACCATGATCGCAATGCTTTTCCGTATCTATGTTTATTTTTTTCGCGCCCACAGCAAGCTTTAAATAAATTAATCGCGGGTATGGATGTGGAAAGAATGATTCATGGCCGTAGTGTGAATTCAATCGAATGAACGTTTCCGCGTTATCGAAAGCGTAAATTACTACTCGTGAATATCAAAGGTTCAGAAGTATCGATCACGTGGGGAAATCGAGTTGGCATTGGCGGATCTAGCGTGGATGCCTCAGGTATTAATAGCGCGCTAAAATAGGACGCTCGGCGAGCGTGGGATGCATCATGCGATTTTGAATCTGAGCAAGCAAAGAAGAGATACAGAACCTGATATTCTTCCCCTCGAAAGAAATATACAAAATGGCTATCAAACCAATTACTGGAGTATGTTTCTCTCTCTGTCCGCGGTGGGATAAGTGAGGAGCTTGGAATTGGAGTTGGGAAGTTGGAAGGACATAATTGAATTGGGTGAATACAATTGGAGAATGAGCTGACCATTTGTACTGTAGATGCTCCGAAGAGGGCTCGTCCTTGACCTTAGCGTCGCTTTCGGTATGTGGTGAACGGATGTCTTAGGGGGTGCGATGGGAGTGGGAGGGTGACTGGAGGGGAGAATCTGCAGATATCGCAGAGGTGAAGCAAAGCAGTCAACTAACACGACCCACCAGGTCTCGGAACTACATTCGGATATGGTTTCTGGTAAATCTTTCCTTTTCGAACGGCCTCAAGGAACATAGCATTAACATAGTAATAGGTACGGATACCATGTTCCAGCCGTCCGCAAGCGCGATGCATTCTACGCCAAATTGGAGGATCAAAGAGCTGCCAATGCTGCATAAGGATGAGGATAGACAAAAAGACATAGATTGGATTGGGTGTCTCGTTACAGTGGATGGTTGAAACAGGCAGAGGTGGATGGGAGGAGTATTGCATGCTGGGAGGCTGGAATGGGTAGGCAAGCTGTACATTACCAATATCGATGATGCTTTGGCAATGCATGCATTTTTTCTCTTCGGAACTGTGAGAAATTCTTTGGGACATGTATGTGTCTGTTTGGAGGAATTATGTGCAAGTGATGGGCGGGTGAGGCTTTAGATATCTTGCAACGAAAGTTGAGTCGGGGTGCACTGGTTGTCATGAGAAATGCATTGGATATTCTTGGCCTACTTTTCTATACGGAGCCATCAAGGTCAGAAAGTTTGGCTTGAAATATACGCTCTATCGAAATCAAAGTGCTGGTTGCTAAAGCCGTACCGTACTCTTTTCATTCCTTACTTCATATAAGCAGACCAAAGGTTTGTGACTCTTGCTATTCTGATTTGTCAGACAGCATTTATTATTACACATCGAGCAGATAAAGGCCCTCGCAACCCAACGCCCTTTCCATCTCTAATTGGCGATACACATCGTGCAGGAGTATGGCATCCCATCACGTGTATCATTCTCCATTCAGACTCCCATTGTAGAGCATAGGCCAATGCAAATCCATTCCTCACTAACATTCCGTTGCAAATTTTATCACCTCCTCTACTCCAACTTCCACACAACTTCCCCGCCCTTCTCCCCCCACCCCTCTCCATCCTTCCCCCTAACAACCTCCTCCCTCCTCTCCCTCTCCTCCAACATCTCCTCCACACTACCCCCCCATCCCAAACGCCCCAACCTCTTCCCTCTCCACCCTCATCCACCCTCTCCACCCCATCACCACCTCCGGCCTCCCCATCCCCCTCAAACTCCCCATATCCACCCCCTCCCTCCCCTCAACCCCAAAAACTATCGTCCCCCCAAACTCCCTCCCATAACTATCATGCTCCCCACACAACATATACTCTTCCACGCCCTTCAACGTACTTTCCAGATTCTGGACCGAAGGTCGAAAGATATGAAGATGTTTGAGATCTGACCTCTTCAATTTATTCTCCTGTCCCTCATCATCATCCTCTCGAAACGCCAAAAACGAAGGAGAAAATCTCGCATGCAAATCAATTAACACAACACACTTTCCTACCTTCCCATCTCTATCTCTCAAAAGTCCACTTAATATATGAATCAACAACGGTAACTGTCTCCCCGAAACCGATAATCTCGACTGGTTTTGATACTTATCAGCCCACAATTCATCTAGAGAATCAACCTGAGTTCTCGACGGACGGGGATTCAAAGTATGGGTTAGAGTTGTGAGAAGCTTGTAGTATGATTAGCTTCATGTTCTCGTGTGAATGTACTAATTACCAGATAATATCATGCAAGGAAATAGAAGAAGGGAGAGAGGGGAAATTCGTTATCGATAAGCAAGCAGTAAGTAACGAGATACGAGGTAGAGTAGAGTAGAGATCCTACATACCGATTCCAAACTCTCTTCGCTCTCATCCACTTCTCGTAATAATCGGCCGCCGAATATCTCCTCGCTAGATTTGATATCCATTGTGATCTCTCTCTTTCCTCTTCTTTCTCAATTCTCACGCCCTCAAATCGGAATCCTCACTCCTCCCCAAACAAGCAAACAAACAAAGAACAAATGACACCACCCCTCCTCCCCTTCCCACCCAGTGCCCTTCCCTTCGAATCAACCCTAACGTCCAAGTCTCAACACCGAAAAGGTTTCGACGGGAATCTCAAAAACTGTGAATTACTTGAACTATGGCAATACAATTGCGATATGCAAAAGGATAGGGATGGGAAGGTTGGGGAAAATATTGTGTGTAGACCCGTGGAACGGCTTTTTCGTCGGTAAGTTTTTGTATTTTTTATTTTCCTTGGGAGGGGTTGGGTAGGATCGGATTTTGTGTTTTTACGGGAGGATGAGTGATAGATGTTGATGGGATCGTAGGTGTAAAGATCGAAAGGGAACTTTTATGGTGGAGACGACGGTTTGGGAGGGAGAAGGAAGTGCAAAGTGATAGATAGTCGGGGATTTGGGGTTGGATGCTTGTGGTTAGCGTGAACCAATGCGTGGTGAGAAGATGATATCGCAAAATAGGGTTTGTAGATGGAGAGGGCATTACAAATGATGAAATCGATGATAAGTTTGATTGAGGTCTACACAAGTTATTTTCATTATTGCTTTACGGCTTTACGGCTTTTCAATTCTCTACAGACCGTGAGACATTGGTTTGTCCCCAAATGCTTCCGAACACCACCATTCCATGACCCATCTTTGATAACAACTCCTTAAGCCTCTCATCGTCACTCCTGGTACCCAATGACGAAACTACAACTTCGAAATCGCATCCAATAGCTCTTCGATCTCCTTGCTCTTGCTCTTGCTCTTGCCTTCCTCTTTCTCTTCCGCTGCAAAAGAAGAGGGATCCTCACTGTCCTCTCCTTGTAAATTCTCATTATCCAAAGCATTAAGTTTCTGCCGCACCGCACAAATCTTAGCATGATCCTGCAGCGCCTCAAGATTTTCGGTCGAGAGAACCTTCCAAAAACTCTCCGTTTGAACCATCATCATCCAGTAAACTGCTAAATTTTTATGTGCCATACGATCACGCCACACCTTACTAACCAACTCAAATACCGGCATGATTGCAAAATCTGCAAGACCGATTTCATCGCCTGCTATGTATTTCGCTTCTTTGGCGTAGCTATCCCATTTAGCGAGTTCAGCACGGAAAGGCTGCACGCTAAAGGGAACTGTTCTCCAGATCTTGAGTAGGGTGTTGGCTTCTTCAAAACGGGTGTAATGACGGGCGAAATGACCCGGAGATTTACAATTCTGTGAGGGTTTATAGATAGCTTCAATATAAAACATGATTGGCATACATCCTTCGACAGTAGTTCTGTCATGGTCGTTATCAATAAATTTGATCACAGCTGTTTCTGGTACAAGCGAATCGTCAACTTCAAGATCTTCTCGTTTCCAATGAAAAGGTGGTGAAATGTTCGCTTCTATCCAAGGGATGCCGTAGTGATTGAGCATAAACTTCACCCGGTGGTCATCGATGGGATCTCCCGACGAGAAAAGCTTTTTATGATTCGGCATGTGTAGTACGTCGAAGCCTTTACCGTAGATCTCCTGCCAGTCGAAATTGCTGTCATGATTCTCTTTCCCGAAAGCTTGTAGCATTTCTTGAGTTTGAGGTGTATCTCCATTGATTACCTGCACTGCGTCCTCTTTCCTCTTGGCAGTTGCACCTTGTCCCCAAATCTTTTGTTGACTTTTATCCAGGTATGTACCAATGTATCTAAATGTCAGAGATATACGTCCACAATCGTAAGCCAGTTCAGCCTTGGATTTCTCACTCGCCATTCTCTTGTCTGGTCGAATGCCATGTAACCACTTCTTATTGGTTTCCAGGCCCATCTTGCACAATGAGTTATGTGGCAGAGCTGCTCTGCAAGATTCTCGAGGGACGCTCTGAGACTCTGCACATAACCCGTTCTTCAGGGGTTTCTTGGTGCGAAATACCATCGTCCGTTGAGCTCCCAGGCTCACATTAGCAATGAATGTATTAGGAATGATATCCAATGTTTTGTCACTGTGCTCAGATATATTATCGTTCCCATCTCGATAGAATTGGATCAGTACGTGGTTTAGAGAATGACCAAGTCTTTCCTCTACTATCTTCTTGATAGTTTCAACTGTGGGTGAAAATGGTAGGAGAGCAGGCGATTCATCTGCCGGGTGACGATACATCGGAGTACTACCATCTTCTTCGATTTGACCCTGAACCGCTACAAGCCTCGGTACCTCCCCACCCTGATGACCCATCTTCTGCCAAAGGACCTCGTCCCGAATTTTCTCGAAAATTCCACTCGCGAACGCATAGGGCAGGAGGTTTCTGATGACCGTTGTATCGCCTTCACAAAGAGCAGCCCTATCGGCTAATGCATTATCTTCGTCTTTTGGCATCTCGTCAAAAGATTTCTTCTTTGTTGAAGGTTTTGGCTGGAGTTCCTCCTTCTCGATTGCCTGGATCTTTGGACTAGGCAGAGTTACTTCAGCTAGGTTTGGTAAATTGGATGAGTCAGGCGACGGAATTTTTGAAGACGCTGGGCTGCGTTGCTTTGAAGGGATAGAGGGGTCTTCTACTTCCACAGGCTTCGCAGTGTGCCGACGTGATTTCACTTTCGACTTAACCTTCTCTCTCTTTTTAGCTTCTGCTTCCAGTTCCGCTGGTGGTTTCGCTCGTCGAATTTGTGATCGCAGGAGTTGACTAGTGATTTCGAAATCGTCTTCGATGGCTGCCGTCGATGATGGGGCTTTGACGGTGGTGACTTGCGGGTTTTCTGCTTCTAGCTTTAAGTTCCCCATTAGATTTTCAATCCCAGTATTTCGAGATTCCTTTGGCTGTGGCTCTCTAGGTTTAGGACGAGATTTCTTACTGGAAGTCGTCCTCCTTTCAGCGACCTTCTTTTGCTTCTGTAAGCTTTCAATGAGGTCCCCGCTACTTATGACATCGCACCCCGTGTAGGCTCTAAGCTGCCGTAAAGCTTCGTCATGTCTAGCTTTACTCCTGTACCCCAGGCAATCCTCAATTATGGTTATGGCATAACCGTGGCGGGCAGCGTCCATTGCCGTGGCAAACACACTTACATTCGTAAGAGCCCCAGCAATGTAAATTTCTGTCACAAACTTGCCCCTTAATTTTTGGACTAGACTACCATCTTTGAATGCGGAATAGTATGTTTTGTTGAATACCAGGTCTTTCGCAGAAATGGGCGCAAATGCCTCTGAAATGGCTGAGCCTCTCGAGTTGGGCTTCAGCATGCGTACTTTGCCTTCGCATTGAACGGTCAAAAAAGCTTCCGCTGCATCCCCATCGCTGCTAGCTACCGAAGGCTTGCTTTCTTCATTGGACACGGGCTCACTTTCGGGTGTCACTTTGTCGCGTCGACGTCGTAGAAGCTCGTTATCCGTTACGATGGCCTCGCTATCATCGTGCGGTTGATTGACTATCCTCGAAACCCCCTCCGTGGAAATGCTGCATATCCATATTATGTCACCAGAAGGACGGAAAGGCTCGATGAGATTCTTTATATTGTCGACGTAGCTCGGGGGGGTTTCGACCGGCAGCAGGCTCTCTTCTCCTATAAAATCGTTTTGCAGATCTAGGAGGAGTAGGGCCTGGCGCGTTCGTATGAACGGTATAGTTTGTTCGTCAATCTCAAACATTTGGGGCAACCTATGATGGATATCAACCAAAGTATTTTCAGGCGAGTCGACTTTGCTGAATATGGAAGATTTAAAGGTTGGCACGATGTGCTCCGGGCTGCACGACTCTATATGTTGTGTTTACTAGCTAAGGGGATATCCATTGCTTACATTGGTCATTATTCAGAAAGACCACCGAGAGGTAGGAGCAACGTCGATGCGTATGTAGCACCGCATGATGCTGTAAGATTCCGTAGACAACCGGCACTGCAAATAATATGCACGGATCTGGTCTCAATCGAATAACAGACAATGTGACAATGGGTAGTACATAGGCGAATGCGAGAGACGGAATCCTCTGGGTTAGTCGATACGATGGATAAGATTATTGTTGTATGGATGGATGGATGGTTTGGATCTTGACATTTAGAGTTAGAGTGGAAATGAAATAGATACAAGCACGCAGCTGGAATGTTTCTGTTCTGAACTTCGATAAGGAACACGGGCCCCCGGAAATGATGACAGACTAGGCCATTTACGATCATTTACGATCATTTAACTAACATTTAACTAACATTTTTGATGAGGAATCGAGGATGTAGGTACTAGGTATTTCCTACCTAATAAGAATAAGTACTAAGTAGGTCCTGGTGGTCCTAGGTGATTGAGACATAATATAGCGACCAGGTATCCAAGTTCTAACAGACATGGGTGACACATGGTTAGAGTGAAAGGCAGGGAAGAAGGAGTAAGGTTGAGGAAAGAAATCAATTGATTAATCAACCGTTGAGAAAAGAGTTAACCGTTGATCTTCCCTCCCGGCCCCCTTCTTCTCTCCCCTTCCTTGAACTTCCTTCCCTTTGACACGGGGCTAAGAGCATAAGCTCAGAGCCCTATCTACCAGGCAGTATCTGCTCCGTACTCTGTCGACAGTTAGACACTAGTAAACTGACCTCAACCCTCGCAACATAGCGAGCATGGCCCTTTTCAACATCGGCCTGTCTCTTTGACTTCTAATCTTTCCTGCTGATCAACGCATATGGAAGAAATCCCATGTTGCTTATCAGTATTATCATGCCACTTGCATCGCTCACCTATAGCCATTGACCAACGGGACGAAGAACGCGTACACCGAAATATGTACTACAACATATAAGCCAGTTACATAACCCGAAACCGTACCCAGTCTATGAATCACATCATCGTGTGAATCAATCTACCTAGACACTCTCTCCGTAAATCCATTCACCGTCATATAGACTTCAATCACACCGTGAGATTTCATACGGTCCTCTGGACGAACGAGCATTGTAGACTAGTAGTCTGTCTGTACCTTCGTAAGGATTAATCTCGGAATCCAAGTAGCGGAGATCGTAGGTGAAAAATAACGGGGTCTGATTTTGATACAACAGGGGGGAATTTGTCCGATGGAATAAAGCGAAGCGCCAAGAAGAACCTTTCGATGATACCGCTAGAACCATGTATCTGATTCTGATTCTGATTCTGATAGGGGGGGGGAGAGGAGACATCAGAGAAGATTGATTGGTTTCGTATTGTGAAGTTTGTGCTTTCTTGCATTGCACCGAGAATCCATTTCCTTTGCATTATAATACTCCGTACGTACAGAGTACTTCTATTGCGCATGTAGCTTGTATGTCGTAGGTATACCCTCGTAGTCACTTTACACGCAAAATCATCTTCCAAGGTAAAGTGTATCTATGTATCGTATGTATGTCTGATGGAAAAAGAAACACCCGCCCAACACTACATTGTGTTTCTCTTCTGTCTCTTGTCCTTGTTCTCGTTCTCATTCTCATTCTTCTTTGCCCCACCACTCATCATACCTAGCTAGAGCTTGAGGCGTTAAAACCGTTGAGGAATCAAGAAACCCCGTCAACGCAGCCATCGGAAGTTTTAACTAAATCATCCAAGACTCATTTGATACTCGTAGATGAT